AAGGTATATAAATTGGGAATCTATTGATTCTGATTTTATTTGTCTATATATATATATATGTATATATATATATATATGCTGCCAGGATGGTTTCTACTAAGAAGATGACCCAGATAAGTGCACAGTTCGGTTCGATACATTATATTGCACCCTCTTAATTCCCCGACCCGTAACTACGACATGCATTTTGATGCGCTGTTAAGAGCGTGTCTTTCACATCGCTCTTCTATATAGGCGGTGCATACATTATCGATTCGCGATTAATTTATGGCCGGATATTGTACGTCACGAAAATGAACAAAACGCGATGCGGAAAATTTTTTATTCCAAAAATGCAATATACAGATATATATCGCAATCCAATCTAAATAGGAACAAAATTTGAAATAATACATATTTCGATTAAAACGTACGAGTGTTTGTGTTTATATGATTATTTATTAAAAGGTATAATAAAACAGAATAATAACTAGGAAATTAAACACCTGTTTATTCTCATATTCCATAATGGAATAAGGAATTTGAATACGGACACGAACGGGACGCAGTGCGTCCTGAAAATATTATCCTCGCCAACGTGGATGAATGATCGTGATATTGTTAATTGTTTTGTCGGATACGATCGACATGATGAATAAAACTTGTTTTATACGATGCCTGGTGGGGAGGGGGGAGGGGGATATTCAGTTTGGCAGAGTTGCGATAAAGGCTTTATTAATGGAAAGAGAGAATAATATCTGGCCATATATATAAATCCAATAAATGGCAAATAATGTAATTTTCGAAACTAAAATCTGAAATGATATTTAAAATAATTGACTTAACTACTAAGTCATATATACATCCATATATTTCATATACATGTATATAAATGTTGAACAAATATATATACGAGTAAAGCATATTCTTTTTTTTCTTGTGCCAATCTCTCATTTCGGATTACGTTTCTATGAATCCTCATGGAAATTTTCGCGTCACATAACGTCAACATAATTTACAGGACATATCTTTGAAATGAGTCTGCGACGCGTAAATTATCGAATATTATTATTGCAGCCTCCGGGAAGGAGGCATTATTACAGTAGCTCTTACATTGCTTATATTCGCTTATACAAATAATCTGTATTATTAAAAAGATCCTAATATTCTCGCTGACTGTCTTTCAGCAATTTCATAAAATCTACCAGTGAAACGAGTGTAAAATTCAGCGAGGAATTCCGATTCGGTGGATTTGCGATCGGTTAATTAAAGCAAGGAGCGGGCGGCGTGGAATCTAGTTATTACGAAAAACTTTCCAACGTAGGCGTAAGACGATATTAATATTGGTTCCTATATTGCTTTTCAAACAGAGATGAGATTTTTGGAGGAAAGTTTTTGACGGCAACTTCACGGTAAATCCTCGTACGAAAACATAAGGATCGCACGTACAGCGTTAGGAGATTACGTCTGCCTACACGTTTTCCTTATCTACTGCGCAAGCAACTTATGTCAGAGACCGTTCATATACATATTATCCATGTGTATAGATATCTTCGAGATGTGAAAAGTTTCTACGGATAAGCATTTGTATGCAAGCTAAACATTTCTTGCACAGATACGCAGTCTTTGTCTTTCTTTGCTCGAAGTTCTAGCAAAGCATACTATCGAGTAATCTCGCGAATCTGCCGCGAATATAAACAAAGTACACGTGGCGACACACAATAGAATTTCAAAGAAAAGACTTTCATAATTCAGCGACTTGCGAGGAAACTACCGACATCATTACTATCCCCTACAAGAACGACACGTTTATTTAACGGCATTGTTCGATGAAACATTGAAAACATTTCGCTGACATTTAATAGTCGTGACGTGCGCTTGTTATTTTATCGCCCACGCGAGAGTCTTCCTGCGTTAAGTCAACTTCGCAATTCTTGCATCGCAAGATTATCCGCGTTATCAGCGTCGGTATTTTCCTCGGACTACGATTACATCGACGATCCGCGATTACGTCAAACAATTAAGTCATGCGCAAGTTTCAAGGATAATCAACCAATCAACGTTCTATTGATATTGATTGGATATCGCGAGCAATTAATAACATACGACAATACGTTGCAATATGCTGTTACAAATATACACAACGACATTTTGCGATTACACATGTCACGCCCAAATTAATTAATTTAAATACAGTTTAAATATAGCATTGCTTTAATGGACTGCACAAAGCACAGATTATTTAGTGCCAGATTGTATAATAATAGAATTAGAAACTTAATTATTTGTGCTCTAATAATATCAAAACTTGTAAAGAATAAAGAGAAAGGCAATAAAGAAAAAAACAAACTAACGGTTTATCTTCGCGCGAAATAAATTATTGTTTTAAATAAATATCTCTAAAAACACCAATCGTAATAAATTCAATAACCCGATAATACACGTTACAACAGTGCAGCAATAATATTGTAATTATATCTAACGACGTTCCGAATAATTAACTATTTAAATGCAGTAATGCGTTAATGGACCATAAAATAAACCAACAAAATAGCATCAACAAATATTTCTATTTGTTAAATATCAAGAATAATTAATCGAATCGCGTTGCAAGTACGGTTCTAAAAATTACTCTAGTTTTATTCTGATCAGAAAAGTAGGAAAATGCGTAGGACGCAACTAGCCAGCCATGTTATATTCTTTTAAGTTTTGTAAAGAATACAAAAAGCAAAGAGACGTAAAGAAAGATCGATAAAAAAGCGAAAATTTTATAAATTCTCGAGGAAAAATCCATCGAGATACATCGATTTTCCCAATAAAAAATAAAAGAGAAGAAAGATTAAAATATCGAGGAACGTTTGAGGATGCCGGGGATATTCATTAAATGTCTGATACGTTAGGGAAACGGCCAGAACGTATATTGAAAGTTAATTAATCGGAGCAAACAGAGCGCGGTCAATTATTCGTCGCGATATTTCGATGAATCGACTCTCCCTTGTAGGCCGTGTCGTATTTTACTCGTCCTACAAGCCGGTTACGATCATCTGGCACGAACATCCTTATACTTATGAACCACACAACGTATCTACAATGCTCTGAATGCTGCATCTGAATTACACAGCGAAGATTAATTTTGCGTATCTACGATGGATCGCGAGAGGCAATTCATAGGCTTGCGCCCGTTCATTACGGCCTAATTTCTTAGAACGTAATTACCACGTTGTACCACATATCCGTAGAGACGTATGAATTATTAAATGAACAAGGAACGGCGTTAACGAAGATGGAAGGCGACGCGCGAGCTCGTAATAACAAATGTTCTCTGATCTCTCTTTCCGTATTTCCATTGCGAAACTGAAACTTCTGTGCAGTTCGAGTTCTTAAGCTGTTGAATGCTTAATGCCAAGTGCGACATTTAGAATTCCAGATGAAATGTATTCAATGTATATAGGAAAACATCATGTATCATCATGTATCAACGCGCGACAAAGTGTGACAATAGTTATATATATTAGTTTATTTTATAATATTTATATAATTCATATTAGAAGCGAAATAAAACAGATCAGAGATTTAGATTCACATCAGTTACATCCATATTACAAATCTTTTTTTTTTTTTTTTTTTTTTTTTAAAATTTTTAATTCCAATTTTTTATTGCGA